CTGATACTTCCATGGCTCTACCACTGAATTATATTTTCGTTCTGCTACTCGCCAATGTCGATGTTATTTCAAAACAAAAACAACTAAGTACTGTCTAAAACACGAAGGAAAACCTCATCCATGTCATCCATGGCAAAACTAAAAGACAGCAGATCGTGTTTCATAACTAGATGACGTGTATTTTATGAATGCGTGCAGCTCGTGCAGGTGAAATTATGCTAATTTCAATCACTATCATCCTTCTTTTTAATTTTGAAAAAAACTTCTCATACGTCTTTCTGTTTCTTTGAAACTTCAAAATTAGTTTTCCCTCAGTTTTTACCGTTTACCTTGTTTTGTTTTAGAGAGAAAAACAGAGAAAAATACCTTACAACTAACCTCAATAAATTTTGTTTACATGCGGTTGCCGGATTTGCGACGCATCGCGAGAACCGCCATGGCGCGTTGCACCAGAGAAGCAAAGTTTGAAGCAGTGCAACGCCACTACATCAAAATATATCAATCTAATTTTTTGTTATGTTATATAACATTTATCCCCCTTTAACATATGTAAAAATTGAGGTTAAGAAGTGTTAAGCTTTTGCAAACGAAACGGCGAAAGACGATTAGGTGATATTTAGTAGAAGGAGGAGGTATTCAACACTTTCAAATTAAACTCATGGCCTTCAAGCGCACCGGAAGCGCGGAAAGAGCGCTCGTGCCAGTCCTACTCCGCATCACACATTAAATGAAGAGCGGAGCGCTCGTTTCACCGCCCAACATTTATCCGCCCTGCTCTTCAATATTCAGAAATGCTCTCGATCTCTTTACGCTTTCATTGCCTTTCGCCCGACATGTTTTGCACGGCGTTCAGTCATGCGAAACCTCCAGGAAACATCCACGCAGCGCGCGAGGTAACTTCAGCCCGATTCTAAAAATAACTCGAGACGAATTACCTATGGAATAGGGTTTGTATGGGGGATGCCTTCTCTGTCCCCTTTATCCTCTCTTGGTCTAGTATAAAAATGGGACACCGTAAACTGGGACGCATTTATGCCCAACTCTTCTAGAAATGACGGGGAAGAGTCAGTGTTTTGTCTTTTTAAAGAAAAAATCCGGATTTTTTTTTCGCTGCTGTCTTCTACTTTTATACGTCCCGTTGAATTTACACCAGTCGACTTTGACGTCTCAGACGGTTAATGCGTCTTGACGACTTTAGCGTCTCTCATGACGGCATAAAAACGGCCATTAAGGTCGAGCGCCTAGGTGTATATATACACCTTAGTTATTTTAGTTATTTCGCCATGTCTACGAAAAAATATGTATTTGCTTAGCACGACTTATGACACATCAATTTCCCTCGGTTTTAAAAGGATCACCAGTGGAGCTCTTCAATCCCGCTGCATCTAGTGCGTGCTTACAATCCTGAATCTCGCCCTATGTGCATGTAAGAGCGCCGGTCAGGAAAAATCGACCAAAATCTTAATTTCGTGGCAAGAGTTGAAAAATCAATTTCTTTCATTTTTTGTTCATAGATAGCTTTTAGGTAGATAAGAAACCTAAAGAAGATTGTTCCTTCCGAAAGCTTTTTATTTGTGAGAAAAATTAGAAGATCGGTTTTCGATGTCGGAGTCTCAGACTGCCCTAATTTTTAACCTGAAATTCGCTAACATTAACAATCCTCGCGTACCCAAATGAAGCCGGATGGAGAAATGTTCTTTCCATGAACAGAAAAATTATTTTTCTTCCTTTAAAAGATACTTTCAGGGCAATAGCGAAGCTGGTCGTACTGAAATAATTCAAAAATGGGGGATAGGTTTTCAGGATAACAAAAACTTAAGTTCGTTACTCATTTTCGACGGCAATTTTTAACATGTGGTATAACTCTAAATTCTCTTAATGCTATTTAAATCACACATTTAGACATTCATTTAAAACATACCTGCGAATTGGCTTAGGTTATTGAATGTAATCTCCGTAAGACACCATCGAAGTTCAGGAATTTTCATGGCAGGCCGGCGTTAATTGTGTAAACACTTCCAATTTCGAAACGCACAAAAGTAGATATTTACAGCCTAAAGGCTCGTTTTTTGTACTTCTTGAATCAAAGAGTGGGGTAAAAAGGTGAAACTGGGTCAATTTTAACCATTTTGAAATGCTGAACCCCACCAGATGGCGACTCTGCGTGACAATCTGTTCCGTGACTGCATGTGACATAACGTACATTTGAAGAGACGAAGCCGTTAAAATGACAGTCACGGAATCACGGTAGTAACGCAACGCAATTCTTGTCGATCCCGACAGTATTTTGAAGAAGAAAAAGTCAAACGCGCTTTTTCTGGTACTCACTTTTTATGGAAAAAATATGGACTTTAACAATCGTAGTTCGCTAAGGATGACGGAACAGGAAGATATTTCGTCTTCTTACTTTACGATCGAGGAAACTTGGAGCCGTTAAATAAGTTATTTTGGTCACGCTTCACTTTTTTTACCGGACTTTGATGCTTTTGTTTGGAGGCTGCCTAAAGGAACCCAAGCCAATTCTCAGGTATGCTTTAGATGAATGTCTAAATGTGTGAACAAACGAGGACCGGGAAAATTTGGAGCTATACCACATGAAGAAAAATGCCGCAGAAAACAACTACTAAATTAAAGTTTTTGTCACCGTAAAATCCTGTTCTTCGTTTCTGAATTATGTTAGTTCAACGAGTCTTGATATTGCTTTGAAAGTATCTTCTAGTGAAAGAGGAAGAGTTGCTTTATTGATGGAAAGTGTCCAAATTTCTCCTTGCGGCTTTATTTGCGAACGCAAGGAGAGTTGATGTTAGCAAATTTCGGGTTAAATACGGCCATTTTGAGACTCCGACCACACAAACTGATATTCTTACTTTTCTCGAAAATAAAAGGCTTTTTGCGAGAACAACTTACATCAGATTACTAACCTACCTAAACGCTATTTATGGACAAAAAATGAAGGCAATCGATTTTTCAACTCTTGCCACTTGATGGTCGATATTTTCTGACCGTCGCTCGTAAAATCCCGAATCCCGGCCTTCAAATAAGGGAAATTCAGTATCACGAAGAACCTATTGGGGAGTTCGTCTTTCAAGGGCTAGTTGCCAGGGGCACCCAACGACAATTTTCGGAAAAATATCTGTTCGGAAGACGATTTGAGATCTAGAATTTTCGGAACATTTGTTTTAAAATTTCTTGCTTGCCTGCCTCTCCTAGGATTTTCGAACATCTAAAAAATGGTAAAATTGCCCATCTTCAACGGATTTTTACCCTAAAAAGGTCACCTAGAACTTTCGGGAGCCTCTTTTCTGGCTGAAATTTTCGAACAAGTAAGTTTTGATCCCTATAATTTTCGGATCACTAGACTTTCAGCAAGGAAATCCGAACAGATGGAAAATTTATAGGGGATAAAAATATGCCCATATCCACCGATGAAATACTAAAACACGTTTAACAATGCTATGTTTAAGTGGTTTTGAACTATATTCTCGTTGGGTGCCCCTGAGTTGCGTTAACAACTTGAAGTTTAAAATTGCATCTTTACTGTATCCACTTTCAAGATTTCATTCGCATCACTGAACTTGCTCGTCTAAAATTTTGTTTGGTCAGATCTAGTGTATTCTTTTACCAATCTTTTATTGATGCACGGGTAGTACTAAGCAATCTCCTTAGAAATATTAAAAATATAGAAAACCTTTTTTGAATAAGGTTGATGGACTGGACCTACTGACCATTTACAACCTCTCTTTTGTTTAGGGATACGTGACAACTTTTCTGTTACGCAACCGTGACACTTCACAACGCTGATAAAGTTCAAGCGATTCGGTCGAAATATTGCTCTGAGTTTTGGAATTTTCTATCCCCTAGATGTAAACAATCTCGTTTTAACTTTTAAATAATTTGTATATCTTGCAAACCAACCCTCCTCATAGACAGTGGTTTCTCAAGTTCCAACACTATGAGGAAGCTGATCTCCTTCTCACAAGTCAGAAATTCAAAACGTGATACTCGACCATTCACGAATTTTTACCTGCCATTCACATTAGGTCCTTTTGATCCAAAAGCAAATCTAAATATGATCATTCATGGCATACGCTATAAAAATTCGAGTTTCATTCTATCTGCAATTCATTCTTTGGAAGTCAGTCGAATCCACAACTCTGCTTTTAACAGCGCTTCTATTGATTGTTCGAAGGGATACATTAGTTTCTTGAGGACTTTGGTAAGCTACCTTTTTGTCTTTAAATTTAGCTTTTGCTGTAGTCTTTACAGTGTTTCTGCCTCAGTCTGCTGTAGTCTCTTCTATCTAAGCTGTCTGATTCACAAAGCGTTTATTTTAACCAATTAAAAGAATCGAAGCCCTATTTATTGCATCAATTTTATATTTTAAAAAGTTTCCGTCAAGCTTCCTTTAGATCGCAGACTCTAACACCAACAATTATCAGTTACACAGCATTGTCAGGCCCATTTGGTCGGAACCATCTTTTTTGTCTAAAGAGGAAATATTCATAACTAAATTCTCGTTTTTCCCCGTCCGAAAAGATTCCGAGTATTATTATCAATTTTATGCAAGACGTTTTCCGCCTTCCTTCCAAGTTTTGAAAGTTAGTAATAACATCGACTTAGTCCTTTGCAAAACTATTGGGCCAGTTCTTTAAACGGAGCTTAACCCGTGTTCAACAAAACCGCGTTGTTTTGGGTAAGTGGTCGCTTATGGAAGGTGGTCGTACACTGTACATGGAGGTTCGACTTTTGTAGTATTCCTGAAGGAGCTAGACACTGCTACGTTCAAATCATTCACTCTTTTCTATAGTGAAACAAGATGTTTCGCTCACCGGTTTGCTCGTTAATCTTCGCATTGACCCTTGGGCTGGCGTCATCTTACGTACTTGACGACATCTACTCGGGTAAGGATGAATTTGAAGAAAACGAAACAAAAGAAGTGGAAAACGAAAAGAGAGATGACTTCCCTGATCTGAATGGCAGCTGGTCCTCCGATGAATTGGATGATGTGATGGTAAAAGATCTCCCACAGAGTATCATAGACAAAGCGAAAAACCTTGCGAACGGTGAATGCAGCAAGGTATATGTACAACCAAGGAATAGAGTGGAAGAAGAAAAGGGAGCCCAGAAGAAGTTTTACCAATCGTTTCAGCATGGAGAAAAGAGTATCATGAGTGATGAAAAGTGGATGAAGGCAAAAAAGAGTGAAAAATGTACCACCTGTGTCTTAAATGAACTTTGCCGTGGGATGAGTGCTGAAACCTTACAGCAATTGAACATCGAATCGACGTTAACTGCGTAAGTACTTAAGTTCAATCTGTGATATATGAAAAAGTGCTCCTTAATATTCTCTTGCCCAGGGGAGGGGGTATATCGGAGTTAAGATTACGGGGATAATCAAAAGGGGGCAACCGTGATCAATCCCCCCCCAAAAGAAAATCCCTAGAGCAGCTTCCAACGACCCCCCCCCCCGAAAAAAAATTTCTGCGCAAAAATTAACCCCCCCAAAATCCATCCTTTTTTATCAGGCAGAACTACGTGGCCAGCATATACGCGTGGCATGTCCCGATTGCGCTGGGCACTTTTCCGAATTTGGAGCACTATTTTACATTTCCAGCACTCTTGAGCAGAATTTGAGCATTTTTTTCGCTTTATCGGGCAACATTAGGCACGTTGTTTTTTACAATTTTCCACATGTTTAATAACAGTTGTAGCTATACGGTGATACATTGAAGCCCATACGGTTCTGTGCTTCTGTGGGAGTGCTTTCGAAACTATGCTGACTTAACAGTTGAAGAGCTTGACTTATTCGATCTTGGGTTTAGATCTTAATAAAGAGATTTTGTTCGAAAAACATTATTGGTGTTTCACTTCTATGATCACCTATTAGAAAATCGAGGGTTAAAGCCTTCATAAAACTAAGAATATTTATGAACATCTGCTAGGAAATAATTTAAAACTACGAGCATTTTTCGAGAACTATTTCGAAATTTCAAGCACTTTTCTGCCATGTTTTGAGCACTTTTTGGCGAATTCTCCAGCGCAATCGGAACATGCCTCATACAGGCCCGGTACAACGCCAATCTTCAGATTGTTTTTAATAACCTTAAATCAACGCACCCCCAAAAATACCCTTGCCAAGTTTTCCTAACAAAACAAATTTCGCAAAAAAAATTAACCCTCCCCCCCCCAAAAAAAAAAAAAAAAAAAATATTTAAATAAACTCCGCCCATTTAAAACCGAACAAAAAAATTTACTCAACCCCAAAAAAACACCCATCAACCATTTACAAAACCTAAAAAAAACTTTAATAGAAATAAATAACAAAAAAAAAAAAAAATTAAATACAGCGCCGAAAAAACGCAAATCTTCCAATGTTTTTTAAGAACCTTAAAACAACACACCCCCAAAAATACCCTTGCCAAGTTTTCCTAACAAAACAAATTTCAAAAAAAAAATTAACCCCCCCCCCCCCCAAAAAAAAAAAAATCGTTAAATCAACTCTGCCAGTTTAACTCCGGACAACTACATCTGCTCAACTCCTAATAAACTCTCATCAAGCATTTTCAAAACCTTGAGTTAGCGTGAGTTCGATTGAGTGTCCATGAGGTCAGCGCTTTCCATGAACGTACTCTGACTGATCGTAGCTAACGACCAGTCACAACCTGCTTACCACAAACAATCTAGAACCTTTTGAAGAGATAAATAATAATTATCAAAAGGGATAATGATCACCTTTTTCGTATTTTTCCTGTCTGGTTATTAGTACTGAAAGAGAGAGGAAGTGTAAAATGGAAATTCTCCGTCAAAAACTTGATGTCAGTAACCCCGAACAGTCACAAAAGATAAACTGCAAACCAAGGACGCCATTTCGCACAGTCGACGGAACGTGCAACAACTTACAAAACCCAACCTTCGGAGCAGTCAATACACAATTTAATCGTCTCATAGCAGCGGATTATGGCGATTCCATCTCAACACCTCGCCTTGCGACGTGTGGAAAGGAGCTTCCGAATGCGCGTGATGTAAGTCGCTTTGTTCACGGCAGTAACAAAGACCGCACTAACCCAAATTCTACCTTACTGACCCATCTGACAATGAATTTTGGACAGTTCATGGACCATGACACAACGCTGGCTAAGGCGCAAGGGCTTAACTGCGAACCACCCACAACAAATCCAGAGTGCATCAACATTGAAATTCCCGAGGACGATGCAACATTCCGAGACCGGAAAGTCGATATTATTGAAATGGAGAGAGACGCCCTTCACGAACCATCTTCTTTCTGTAAACTTGTCACTAGAGAGCACATCAACACTATTACAGCTTATGTTGATGCTTCCAATGTTTATGGGTCAACAGAAGAAGTTGCTAAGTCAGTCCGGGTTCACCCTAATGACAGTGCACTTCTGAAAGTAATGAAGCATCCAGATGGCAAACCCTTTAGAAATCTGTTGCCTCCGCAGACCGAAGAATCCGGGTGTCCATCTCTTGATCCACAGAGGCCGTGTTTTTTAGCAGGAGACGAGAGAAACAATGAAAACCCAGGTGAGAATAAATCAGCATTGATAGAGTCTATATATGCATCATTATCGAGACCCTCTAAGGTGGGTAGATATGTCCCTTTTATGAATGTCAAAACCTGTGCTTTCACATTTTGAGGAGGAGGCCATGTCGCTATCGGTGCTGTGCTACTGTATTTGCGCTTTGATTTGTTCCTCGCTAGCGCAGTCTGAACCCAGTGTATCGCCACTTCATCTGACCCACGTCCCTTTTTCTGGGTCATATCGCAGAGTTGTGGAATTTCCTTTTATAGGGTCTTACTGCATTAGTTGCCAGTGCCAAAATACGAGGCCTCAACGTCTTTAGTGATTTGAAATGGAACTGACATATTGACTCCATTATCAAGAAAGCTAAGAAGCGCCTATATAGTTTATCTCAGCTTAAACGCTCTGGCCTAAGTACCCGTGAGCTAGTTCAGTTTTTTCTGCACTTGCATTCGCCCTATCACGGATTGAATGTCCTGTCTTTCACGACAGTCTTCCCGCGTATCTCTCCAATGAACCTGAGGGAATACAAAACCGGGCCACAAAGTGCCTAATCCCCCCTGAAACTTTCAGACCGACGCCAGGAACTTGTAGACAAACTATTTAAGGAAGTCGTACAGAAGAAAGAGAATAAGCTTCAAGGCCCTCTCCCTGCTCTTAATACCTCTAGGTCGAACCTAAGAAACACAGGGAAATTTAGGCCTGTTTTCAAGACGAGCAGATTCCGTAATAGTATTCAGTTTAAGTCCAATGCCCTCAAGGCTAAATAAACTGTGTTTCCCTATCTATAGTTTTACAATTTTCGATTGCTTTTATTTTGTCAAATTCTATCTTTTTATTTCTTAACAAATCACAATTTTACTCTAGTGTATTCATGTATTGTTTCTATGATTCGATTCTTACATTTTTCTTTTTAAATCAGCTTCTTAGAAGTGGTAGTATTTTTCAGTTATCATAATTATTTGTAAATAATCGCCTAATTCAACCTCTGGGTTGCGATGTGATTATAAATAAACTATCTAACTATCCTATTAATGCCACAAGCTTTTTTGATCTTCTGGAGCCGAGAGAGATTGTTAATCTCGTTCTTTTTTTCTTCACCTAACCCTAGTATTCATTTGATAAATGTTGCTTTTTAAATTGGAGAAGTTCAAGACATATGATTTGATGACTCGTATTGCGGTTAATGCTACTATGAACTGATTTCTGACCGGGCAAACTCCACTTAAATGAGAAAACGTTTCTAGAGATCTGATAGAAAAGTAACTTAATTTAAGTAAGCTTAAATTCCAGTTTGTCGAGATCGACGATAGGAGATGCAATACCGACGAATCTTTATATTTCAGTTATTTACTTATTAGCTATCGATTTTAAACAATAATTGGCTAAGGCCGATAAAACTTACCGAGATCTTGATTATTCCGGATACTACAAACTTAAGACCTTATCCAATAATTGTTTCATTATACACTGTTTTGAAGAAATGACGACAAAAACCGTTGCACGCAGAACGCACTTTGTCCTTGCTTTTGGAAATCATACATTGCATGCAACCCACACATTAGTCTGTTAACTAACTAATCTTCAGGGGCACCCAACGACTGTTTTCTTTCAAAATATCTGTTCGGAGAAGCAAATATTGCCTAGAATTTTCTATTACTTGAGGGCGGCTAAAAATGTCTTGATGAGCGTTCCATTTAGGTACAATTTTCGAAGCTTATCTAAAAAATTCCCTACGATTTTCTGAAGTTTAATTTTTCATATTTTACTCCTATTGTTAGGCTAATTTTCTTAGGAAAAGGAAAACTAAAATTTTCGGATTCAAAAATGTGATGGAGAGAGGAATAAGAAAAATTCCCACTTTCGTAAAACGCTCAGTTGCATCTAATATTTTCGGGAAAAGAACATTGAAGTCCTGGCTTGTAATTCGGAAAAGCCACAAGTTCCCCTGTAGGATGACCGAACAGACACAAATTTTATAGCGCCGCCGAGAATGCATTTTAAATTACTCTGATAGCCTAAAAAGACTTTTCAATGCATTTAGGAGGAAACTGTCGTTGGGTGCCCCTGAATCTTTAGGTTACACTGATTGTAGCCTTTAGCCATTGAGGGGAGTGATAGTGAGTGCAATATATAATAAGATGTCTTATCTTACAGGTCTCAATTCAGTCCATACTATCTTCGTTCGGCAGCACAACCGAATAGCCACATTTTTACTCAACAACAATAATGCTAATAGATGGTCAAAAGACAGGATTTTCAATGAGACCAGGAAAATCATCGGGGCGCAACTGCAAGTCATTACATACAACGAATTCCTGCCATTGATTTTGAGTAGGAAAACGGTAGGTTGATAGCCCGCTTTTAATCTCTTCTGATTAATCGAAACAGGTGCTGTCTCCTAAAGCCTTAGTAAGGGCTATTTTTCACGTGCGACACAAGCAAAAACATATTAAGACATATAGGCATCTACTTAACTAGAAATCCGGTGCAATTCAAGTAAAGTGTAAGGGTCTTACTTTGTATTTATGCTTACGTTATGGCGGTTACACTTTTCAAAATGCATAATAACAGCACAAGCAAGTTTTCTTTTAAACTAATCCATATAGCTTAGTATATGTTTCACTGTAAATGCAGTATTGTATACAGTACATTATTTGGCGCCGTATTTGTTACGCCCTAATACTATGCGTTTGGTCTAGGTTATAATTTCACCTTATACTACTGACCTGAAAGTACTGAGCATCGGTGTATTTCTACATGCATAAAACTTTGTAAACCAGCTCAAGATTTATCGGTGTGGGTTTGCCAATCAGCTTGTCAGAACGGCTGATCCTATTAATGTAAACAATCTCAAATTTAAGCCCACCTTAAGTTCTGAATCGAAGACCTTGAATTGCTGGTCGAACTTAGCGCCTGCTTTAAAACAAGCACTAAGCGGTCTTTAAAGCAGTCTGTTAACCACTATTTCTGGAACGATGTCATACCATGAGAATCTGGACTCCCACATAAGGAAACTGAAAGTTTCCTTATTCTCAAACAGTCATTTTGTTATATAATGCTGTATAATTTCGCGACGGTAGGAGGGAAGTTATTCAGGATAACAAGAAAAACCCACGTACCCGGCCTTAAATTTAGCAACTGAATATCAGTTACGTCATGTTTTGTTAATTTTACGAAAATATTTGTTTTATTATTCTTCATAATTATTGTAGATCAAAGACTTTAAGTCTCGAAATACTTCCAGGAACGCAATCATTCAAGGGCTACTTTGTTTGGAAGCAATTCATAACAAGATGCACACGAAAAAGACCTATATTCGACTTGCTCTAAATTTAAAAAAATTAATATGATTTCTTAAATGTATCCCAAGTCACTATGTTTTCAGCTGTTTCTCCCGTGCATTAAAAAGCAACATTCATGATGTTTCTTTTTCCCCCTCACTATTCAGATCAATAAGTTTGGCCTCGAGCTCCTTAAAGGAACACAGTTTTTCAATGGCTACGACAAAAACGTAAATGCTCAAATGACAAATGCCTTTTCTGTCGCTGCTTACCGATTTGGCCACAGCTTAGTTCAAGAATGGTTTAGAAGATTCAGTCAAATTGGTTTCGAACATAAAAGAAGTGAATGCGGTTTGAAAACAGAATTTCGGCCCATCCCAGTGTTGGACTTCAATAATCCTCAATACCTATACGAGACAGATCAGGGCGGCGTAGACGCCATTGTGAGGGGACTAGTGAAAGATTCGGCAGCGAAAAGTGACGGGTGAGTAAAAAGGAACTGTCTAGTGCCAGAAGAGAGGGTGTTACTAAACCAAGTCGTGTAATTAAGAGGGCGGGGGGAGTGCTCCGCAGAGGACTACTTGCCTACCTACTACTACTACTCCAAGTTGATCGTTAGTGGGGGTCAGGTTCGACTGCAAATGAACATACATTTTATCTCCCTGGAACAAACGCTGGGCAGAGCATTTTTTTCTGGTAGAGTATTTACTTTCTACTATAGACAAAAACATATATGCTACGATTGAAAATTTGTTTCCCTCTCAAAAAAAATTAACGAAACAACTATGATCACAAAAATTGACAACAGCAGCAAAAGGACACGCCTCTTGCCTGTGTAAAATGGATACCTTTTTTTAATTAATGCACTACGTTGATAACAATGAGTTGATGTCAATACTAGACGGCTCCTCCAAAACTGGTATAGGATTTGAAGGAGCCGAAACCAATTAAGACATTTTTGGCATCTTTATGATGAACAGTTACAACTTATACTTATTTCGAACGTAGCAAATTTACCGCCTGTCCCCTTTCAACCGTTCATGTTCTAGGTAAAGTCAATACATAAAGAGATGATGAGTCTGGTAGGTCTAATAGATGTTCAGCTTTCCAGCTGCTCTTGCGATGTTTTTAGGCATAAGTTCAGCTGATTCTCATCGTTTTCGCAAACGTGTGTAATTTCTCGCCATTTTCTTGAGCTAAACTAAAACAGCTGAGCAAAACAACCTCGTCCACAGATTTTCTCGGTTGCGATCTTCACATTGCCCATAATACACCTCGTTTACCTCCCACACTTTGCCTACAGAGGAGTGAATGTTCGTAATCCAATTTAAAGCAGCTCCACTTTAAGGATTTGCTAACTTTATTTGCTTAGCTAAAATATTGTGTTATTTACATGTACTAGGCGATTCTCCAGTTCTGTACAAGAAAACCTACGTCGTGGCGAGGGTGATTTATCTGACTTAGTCAGCATTAACATCCAAAGAGGTCGTGAACGTGGACTTCCGGGGTACACTAAGTATCGTAACCTTCAGTTATGTGGCCTGAGCAATGTAAAAAGTTTCGACGATTTGAAGAACGTCGCTGGCTTTGCGGAAGAGGACGTGGAAAATTTGAGAAAGGTCTACGATAACGTTCATGATATCGACTTGTTTGTCGGAGGTAAGCAGTGCCCGAGTGCATGTTTGTGTGTGTGTGATGGGAAGTTGGGGGGGGGGGGGGGGGAGGGGCCCCCCCGGTTTTCGCGAAAAAATTCAAAAAACTTCCTTTATTTCTTGTTTCCCAGAGGTTCCCCACGGGGTGGAAAAATAAGAAAGAAAAGAGAGAAACCTCCCCCCCCCCCATATGGGCCCACTCCCCCGCCTTGGGGGGGGGGGGGGGGGGGGGGGGGGGGGGGGGGAACGGTCGCCCCGGTGTTCGTCGAAAAATTCCAAGAACATCCTTTAATTCATGGTTACCAGAGGTCTCTCACGGCATGGAAATATATGATAGGAAAGAGAGAGACCTCTCCGACCTCCTAATGGGCTCAGTCTCCAGCCTTGTATGTCTCGATGCGCGCGGTACTCCCCACCCGACGGCTAAGTGTCTTGTACATGACGTCATGATGTTCGTATAGGTAATAGCATGATTTGTAGTGATATTTAGCATAAATATCACTAGTGATATTTCGAAGTTGTTATAGGTAAATTCACGAGCCGTTAGGCGAGTGAAATTTGAGACTATTCTGAAATATCACGAGTGGTATTTATGCCAAATATTACGTACAAATCATGCTATTATTATTATCATGCTATTATTATGTAGGTATTTCAAATTAAGGTGAAATGCCACAGCTCTAAGCCAACCAAATTGCAGAAATTTTTCATGTAGTAGTATTAACTGAGTAATTTTTGCATGACGATTTTTTTTCATGAAAGCGAACCATCTCCCGTGAGACCGAAGAGAGCCTTTTTCGCGTAGCAAGATTAAACGTGTACTGTTAGAAGACGCAGATAGAAAGGGAAAGTTCAAAAGAATACTCAGTTTCCTTTTTGTGGAAAAAGAAAAGCTTTTAGCCAGAAAACTCGACTTCAATGACTTCGACCAAGTTTTCTTCACGGCTTGTCGGGTTTTGAAATGCCACCAAGACAGCGAAGTTTGTAAAGAATTTTCTGGTACATTTTTCACGTAATGGCCAAAGAAATTACACGTTTAAATGGGAATTTGTGTATTTATAATTAAATGTTTCATAGGCGTTTTATACATTTCGACTTTGGCTTTAAAGCAAAATTAGAAAATGGGCCCCGATTTGAGACGGATTTAGCGTTGAATTTTGCCACGTCCCTCTTTTATAAATTTGCGTAATCGGATCCACGATCCAGTAAGTGTACATGTTCAGCTAATTGCTTTAAATAAATTTACTTACCCTTCAATCCAATTTTTTTTCTCTTAGAACAATAATTAAATTAGGAGTTATAATAAGCAAACTGTGAAAAAGAAACATGAGCCTACATACTTCATATAAACAACATGGAGATAAAAGAAACTTATGAAAGATTCGTCGTAAATGGGGAATACGTACACACAAGTGAATAAAATATGTCTTACAAGGAAAAAGAATGTTTTAATAATGATTTAATCAGAGCTGGAAAGGCCAAGGTTTAACTTTTTGTAAACACGAAAACACCTCTGGAATAATTGTCAGCAGGAACTGAAAGAGCATATTAAAATCAGGTACCTATACTGTAACCTATAGTGTGGGAAAAACAACTTTTGCTCCCCAGTCATGGTTGAGTGGTTTTACATGTACATACAAATCCTTGTAAATTTCGAAATTTTCAAACTGCATTACGAGGCTCAAATTTAATCCCTTAAATGCGGAAGGGAAAGATTTAACGACAGTTTAAGAATTTCCAAATGTACAAGGCCTTGTAGGAAGACCACTCAACCGTGACTGGGTGGCAAAAGTTGTTTTTTTCCACACAAATCCTTCTTATTTTCGGCAGCCGTTGCAATCGCTACTTTTAAGAGATACGGCTGAAAATTTATAGTTTACCTAATTTTAATATGGTCCTTAAGTTCCGGTTAATAAAATCTTCCAAAACCGAACTGTTTTCGCATTTACAGAAAGTTTATCACGTGATCAACTGTTGCAATAGGCTATGTTCACACGAAACCAGATTGCTCTTTGCTCCGTTAAAGAAATCGCGCGGAAATCACCGTTCTTATGTGTGAACAGAAGTCCTATCCGGTGTGGTTTTCGTGCCGGCGCAGAAGCTATCCGGTGATAGTGAGAACATAGCCTTAATTATTACTTGACTGTGACCATACCTGCCACATGAGCAAAGCCCCGAGAAAGAACAGACTTAAACTGTCAAAAATTTGGCGGATAGTTTTCAAAAATCTCAACTGTAATTCACCAATTTCGATATATTAAAATTCAAACTTGGCTTTGAGGCTCGTCGGAATTACACAAAAGAAATGTATTATTCATCGCTGAGCGTCGAGATGATTACTTCTGTTTTATTCCTAAGCCTTGGATTAAAATCAGTAAACGAAAAAGGCTAATTTCACGATGACGACAATTGATTACAAATACCAGAATTCATTTCGTTTTTGCTTTCTTATGTAAATCTGTCAATCCTGCTGAGTTTTAAAAGACAATAGCCCTAATTTACACAAGAAAACGACTAACTGACGGATTCTTTAGTAAAATGACCTCATCGCTCAATTGTTCTATTGGTCTTGTTTGTCCTATTTGGTCTACTCTTTATTTGCTGTTTTTAGGTAAATGCTCCTCACTGTTTTAAGCAACGGATTATTTCAGTTTACATTTCGGTGTATTGGTTGGTCACCTAAGTGCTAAATTTTGTTTAAGTGCGTGACACAGTAAGATCAAACACATTCAAATTCCTTTAAATATAACTTGTCGCGAAAACGCAGGCACCAATAATCGTTCACAAAATAAAAAAGACCCTATAATTCCTTTCTGTTCCTGCTATACAGATCTTTCTGCTTTTATAATGCGATTGGTAGAATTTGTAACCAAAAACCGGTTTTGCTTTTTTCCTCAAAGGAATGCTTGAGCCGAAACCTAGTGACGGAGGGGTACTGGGACCAACTTTCCAGTGCATTGTAGCGGAGCAGTTCAAACGCCTCAGAGTTGGAGATCGCTTCTGGCATGAAAATGCACCGAACCGAAACTTAAACACTGATCGAACGGCGTACAACGGTGCAATGCTACAGGAAATCAGGAAAACAACCTTTGCCAAGATACTCTGCGACAATGCTGATAGCATCACGGCTGTCAACAAGATGGTGTTTCAGCAATCCAAGGAAAGAGTGAATTGCGACCAACTACCGACGGTCAGTTTAACTCCATGGATAACTCCTCATAGGGACTTGGGGTAAGTTTTTGGTAGATATTGGGGTCTTGTTTATGGTGAAAGTGCACTTAGCTGTTCTAGCTGGTTTTAAGGCACTCCACGCCAGATTGCGAGTACTATCCGACACGCCAACCACTCGACTTGTTTTGTTTTTGGTATATTCATTCTATTTAAAATACTGGTAAAGATAGTGATGCTGTTGATGAAACAACGACGAAAATGATAATGAGATCAAAGAGACAGTTAATTTACTAATCAAGATTAGAAGTGTATTTTGCGAGTTCATTGTTATTATGATTCTTGTTTTAAGCCTGATGCTTAATTTTGGGTTTGGATACAATAAAAATTTGAATCTCAAAATATAAACTAGAATGATGATGATGACGATAATGTTGATGACGACGATGGTGATGATAAAAATACATAAAAAACTATAAAACAACACTATCAGAAAACCAGGATTTTGAGGAATGTTCCTCGTTTCTAGGTAACTAAGAGAAACAAAAGAGTGTCCCCATGGGACCTTTGTCATTTGTTATGACTCGCTCTCCTGGGATGTATTCAAAGTAGACAGACTGCAAATTGTAGTAGTTGCTAAAAAATATATCTACGTGTCCCAACTGTTCATCAGTAGGATGCCTACAAAGCGTGCAATTCCACAATTGGTTTCGGCTCCATTAAATCCTATACCAATTGCAGAACATTTTAGGAGGAGCCACCCACCGTGTCGGCATGAGAACAGCCAGAGCTCAGGGCCGAGTTGTTCAAAGCTAGGTTAAGATAACCCTTGGTTAGTGCAAGATTTGGATTCAGATTTGAAAGCTTAAAAAACGTTTTAGTTTTACTTCTTTTTGTCTACGAGTAGATGATTGGAAGCTCTAAAAATAACAAAGAAAATTATCCGAGAAAATGCTTTTGAACACAAGAAAAAGAAACTCGGGTTAAATTTAACCCCGGGTTAAGCGCTTATCGGCCTTCGAACAACTGGGCCCTGAACTAAATGGATAATAATACTTCTATACTGATGATGATGATTTTGATGATGATGATGATGATGATGATGATGAAGATGATGAGAAGGAGAAGGATGAGGATGATGATGATGATAAGAGATGATGATAGTAAAAATAATTTGTAGTTTCAAAACTGAAAAAATTATATACAGAATACTTCTTACTATATTTTTTATCTTCCTCTCAGTACCTCAACGCAAATCTCATTTTTGTCCTTGAGTAAATAATATTAAATAATCCTTATCATAATCATAACTGTCTTATTTTTTTTTACCTTATAGAGAACCTGACGATGTTGACGATGATCTCCTAGATGATGACGACCCTGAGTTTTGAGTATCCCAGCATCAGTAAAGAATACTCACATCCTGGAAAATTCTCGACGCTTTGCTGGAATCGTAGATTAGACAAACGACTATCATAAAAATTGCCTTGCTATATTAATTGTAAGGAGAGAATGCAATAAATATCATTTTGCTTGGCAAGATCTTGGTACGTATTTGTTATTTCATCACAAATAAAACGAGCAGGTCAAAAATAGGGAGCTTAAGCGAAAAGTGAAGTCGAGCTGTTTTAAAATACGTCGTGATTCCACCTAGTTAAATTTGTCAAATGCTAGCAAATTTTCTGAAGTTGTATTCTTAAGGCCAATTAACGCTAAAACCCGGGGTTAAATTTAACCCCGATTTCTTTTTCTTTTGTTCAAAAGAATTTTCTCGGACAATTTTCTCTGTTATATTTAGAGCTTCCAATCATCAACTTGTAGACAAAAAGATTTAAAACTGAAATGTTTTTTAAGCTTTCAAATCTGAATTCAAATCTCGCACTAACCCTGGGTTATCTTAACCCAGCTTTGAACAACTCGGCCCAGATTAAGAAAAAAGAAAGCCGTTGTCCATGTTGTATTCAAGTCCTACTTTAAGGAAAAAATATATATCTTGCAAGGACAGCAAATGAAAAAAAGTAATGTGCGTGCAGAGGTGTTATTTTGCTAGCCTGAGAAAACAGCCGATATCTCGCGACTCCACCATGCCACTGCTGGTTTCCCCGCAAAATGAGGTCTAAGGAACAGCGCAGAAATTCCATACTAATGACGCGTCATTAACTAGATCTTGGTAGTGCTTCTAATTGGTTAAAAATTTGCTTCAACCAATCAGAAGCACTACCTAGATCTGGGTAGTGGCGGGTCATCAGTGTTGAATTTCTGTAGTCGTTTCTCAGACGTCAATTTACGAGGAAACCAGTGGTGGCGTCGCAAAATGTCGGCTGTTTACTCAGGCTATTGATTTGCTTACTGAGACACCGCGCGCACGAATCCAGATCCAAATCGCAATTTCTTAATTATACGAATAAACCTTCCGTCCACGCGAAACCGGTTAACCCGCACACTAACTCGGGTTAAATTTAACCCCGGGTTAAGCGCTTATCGGCCTTCGAACAACTGGGCCCTGAACTAAATGGATAATAATACTTCTATACTGATGATGATGATTTTGATGATGATGATGATGATGATGATGAGAAAGAGGAGGATGAGGATGATGATGATGATAAGAGATGATGATAATAAAAATAATTTGTAGTTTCAAAACTGAAAAAAAATATACAGAATACTTCTTACTATATTTTTTATCTTCCTCTCAGTACCTCAACGCAAATGTCATTTTTGTCCTTGAGTAAATAATATTAAATAATCCTTATCATAATCATAACTGTCTTATTTTTTTTACCTTATAGAGAACCTGACGATGTTGACGATGATCTCCTCGATGATGACGACCCTGAGTTTTGAGTATCCCCGCATCAGTAAAGAATACTCACATCCTGGAAAATTCTCGACGCTTTGCTGGAATCGTAGATTAGACAAACGACTATCATAAAAATTGCCTTGCTATATTAATTGTAAAGAGAGAATGCAATAAATATCATTTTGCTTGGCAAGATCTTTGTACGTATTTGTTATTTCATCACAAATAAAACGAGAAGGTCAAAAATAGGGAGCTTAAGCGAAAAGTGAAGTCGAGCTGTTTTAAAATACGTCGTGATTCCACCAAGTTAAATTTGTCAAATGCTAGCAGATTTTCTGAAGTTGTATTCTTAAGGACTGTAAAAAACGCCCAGGGCCCAGTTGTTCGAAGGCCAAGTAACGCTAAAACCCGGGGTTAAATTTAACCCCGATTTCTTTTTCTTTTGCTCAAAAGAATTTTCTCGGATAATTTTCTCTGTTATATTTAGAGCTTCCAATCATTGTAGACGAAAAGATTTAAAACTGAAATGCTTTTGAAGCTTTCAAATCTGAATTCAAATCTCGCACTAACCCTGGGTTATCTTAACCCAGCTTTGAACAACTCGGCCCAGATTAAGAAAAAAGAAAGCCGTTGTCCATGTTGTATTCAAGTCCTACTTTAAGAAAAGAAATATAATTAGAAAGTTTCACGTCCTAGTCTTGCAAGGACAGCAAATGAAAAAAAGTAAAACAGCCGATATTTCGCGACTCCACCATGCAACTGCTGGTTTCCCCGCAAAATGAGGTCTGAGGAACAGCGCAGAAATTCCATACTAATGACGCGTCATTAACTAGATCTTGGTAGTGCTTCTAATTGGTTAAAAATTTGCTTCAACCAATCAGAAGCGGGTAGTGGCGGATCATCAGTGTTGAATTTCTGTAGTCATTTCTCAGACGTCAATTTGCGGGGAAACCAGTGGTGGCGTCGCAAAATGTCGGCTGTCTACTCAGGTTATTGATTTGCTTACTGAGACACCGCGCGCACGAATCCAGATCCAAATCGCAATTTCTTAATTATACGAATAAACCTTCCGTCCACGCGAAACCGGTTAACCCGCACACGGGAACCGCATCTTTTTGAAACCCCTCTTCAGAGTGAATTTTTTTGGATCCGACGGGTTTGGCGAATTCATGTAGACGACTGACTGAAACAGGATATTTTTCAATTCAGCTACGTCATAATTTCAGGTCCAGGCTTAAATGAAAACTTGCAAATTTAAAATGGTTGGCAACAACCCTACTTGGATACTGTTCTTCGAACAGTTCCAGTATATCAGAACGTTTGGATTGAACGGCAATTGCGACTCGTCGTTTTCCATAGGCTACTACATCTTGTAGTCGCTCGATATTTTAGCAAAAGCTCACCTTTATCGTCGTTGCGGAGGAATGAGTCGGCAGGTTGTGTCGCTATTTCTCGTTGACATTCCTGCTGAAATGCTGGCGAATGGCGCCGAGGAACTAGGAAATGTATACGGCCAGTGAGTTCGATATAGCTACAAAAATATTCAACAATGCCGCGAACACATTGAAACCGATTTAAGCATGCCCACTAGCTAATAGTTAGCAAATGTAAATGGCAGTCGCATATTCGGGATAAGTGAAACCAAAACCGTATACACCACACCGAATTCGTCTTGACACAAATATTAATTATGCTGTTTCATCTTATCCAGATTCGCTTGGACGTGACCTAAACCTGCTTCGTCTGTTCTTCTTTTGCCGTTTTAAATCTTTTCCTATCACCGTTCTCGTTGCTTAAGCTCCCTAATAAGCGTCGAACATCTGGCTAGCGATTTTTAGAACTAAGCAAAGGCAACCTCCCATCAGATTTATGGACCTCAAGGCTTTGAGCCTTTAAGTGAATCAGTCCTCCGTTCGATATCAATACATCGAGTAAAGTGCCTTTATCGGTAGAAAACTTCAAAACACTTGTCACCGCTACGAGAGACTCTTGACTGAAAATGAGTTCGCTATTATACTGCTTTGATCAAGTGAAGGCTTTGGGATACGTTTGGGAGAAGCTTTTACAATTTAGTTAAGGACGAAAGGCAGCGTTTGGGTGTTAGAAGATGCCTAAAATGGCTCAAATGATCGAACTAGTTTAGTCAGGCTAGGCGCAAAGTGGTTAGTTTTTCGTTTATTCCTTTCTTTTAATTTATAAAACCAATAGACTCCATGTTGCGGTGCGTCTGTTTAGTGAAATGTCTTGTAATAGGTCGTGATAGGGAACTAAAGGCGAGGACGAAGACGACGACTACGAGCTCGGCAAAAAACATGATAAGGATTAGCAAAACAACAACTTTGCACGAGTGCATCACGCTTCATTGCTCAATCTCTTTGCCGTCGTTCCCAACCTCACAACAACAGTTTTCGTTTCCTTTTATTTTCTTTAATTACATTCCTTTGGCTGGAGAGGTTCCTAATTAGCCCCCTCAGTAATGTAGAACACACAGAGACGTCAAAAAGTGGTGAGAACATATGTGACACTTTTTGCTCATATTGACGTTGTTTGTGTTCTACGCAGGGCAACATGATGTGAACAATTGTGAATTTCTCCGCCTACATGAAGGGTGTGAACGACTCTCAGGAGGGTAGTTCAGGGCGGACTCGCGAGCGGAGGGGCTCGAAGGACCGGAAGAATCCAACAGTTAATTATTCACAGATAATGTACTTTTTCTCTGTACTTAGATATCAACTTAAATCCTTCCTGTTGTTCGATCTCTTCACCTTACGTTCGAACTTTCTTTAGTCTTCTAATCCTATTTTTGATCTTACCTACTTCACCCGTTCAACTTAGAAGCTCTCATTTTATTTGCTTGCTAATGAATAACGTGTTGTTCGTCATTACAATGCGTACGCGGGTTCCAATTAGTTGTTTATTTACCGTATGATTCATCATTGAATCTAGGGCAAAAAAAATCTATTGCAAAGCTTTTTTTCACTAGTTCCGGAACAGGTTGACGACCACTGCAACTACGTACCAGAGTTAAACTCACTAAAAAAGCACATTTTACTAAGTTACCTTTCACGTTACTTAGATGTTAGAGGTATAGCCCTCGTTATGAACAGTAAACAGTGGACAAGAGAAGTAGATGAGGACAAGGTTTCCGATTCATTGTGAATAGATCCTAAAAAACGGAAAGCGTAAGTAAACCCTTCTTAAGTCTAATTGCTGAAAGGCAAAAGTGGACATTTAAAACATAAGTATTTAATTTTGAGAAACGTCAAGTTGGGAGACAACATCTCGCACTCTCAAAACCACCCTTCCTCATTAATGAAACACGAAAGGAGAAATTCCTAATGCTATTCTGGTCCCAGACTCATAAAATATACACGAAATATAGGGTGAATAAAGAAGAGGGGTGTCGTCCTTGGTAAATCAACAGGGAGCTTAAGAAAAGACGACGGCGACGGCAACGAGGACGGCACAAAAACAATAGGTTTGGGGTTAGTAACACAACAACTCTGCACGTGCATCACGCTTTTTTTGTACATTTCTTTGTCGTCGCTGCAAGACTACGACGTGAAAAAGCCCAAACGTCACGTTTTGTGAAGGACGTGAACTTAAGACGACCTTCTTTTTCTTTTCCTTTTTAAACTTCAACAGGCCTTAGAATTTAACTCCAGAGAACTTTGCCAAAATTTGACGACTATAACGAGATGAAATAAGCGCCGTAAAGTTTGATTGAACTAACGCGAATTTACGTTTCAAGGGACGTTTTTGTAGACGTTGCCGTCGTAAGTAATTTCTGAAGCTCCATAATAATAACCTGAAGAAGGGTGCACTTACAATGATATCGTGCGTCATGCCTGTGCAGGAAAAGCACACTTATTAAATATTAATCTTTTCAAATAAAAAGCCTATTAATAAATTATTGGCTATTTATCTTGCTTTATTCTTAACAGTAAACACTTGAAACGTCTCCAGAACGCTAAAAGCTTTCTACAACCCCGAACAAATGATATATGTCACTATATTTCAATTTGGTGAAATAAGAGTTGACGATGATCTACAAGTATGACAATCTTCGCACTTCACTTATTTTATGTTTTAAATGTTTCATTTTTATTTGTTCCATAATGGATACAAAATGGATATAGTGCATAATGGATGCTGTATGTTGTGGTTCAATTTCATCCTTGGTGTAAATTTTACTTTCTTTTGTTTCAAACTTACATCGTTATACATTACCATAGCATTATGTATAGTATAGTTACCTGTAATAGATCATAGAAGACGTCAAAGTCTGGTAAGGATACTGTATCAGTCATGACACACTCGACTGCGGCTCGTGTGCCACTTTTTTGGTTTCACCACACTTTGACGTCATCTGTGATTTATCACTGAACAGAAGGAGGGAAACTCATGGAATCTACTTGTTAAGAGACTAGAGCACGCTTGAATTTGCTTTTGTGCGACGCGACATCATTAAATAAATGGCATAGAAGGCTTTCGTGTAGGGTCACGATTTTGCTCATTTTGTTTTTTCATCAAGTTTTATTTGATCTTCTAGAGCAATGACTTCGTATACTCCCATAGCCGAACTCAATGGCCGCTATTTCTGTTTGGTTTCCGGTCGCGTATTGTGTCATTCTGGGGGGACTCCAACATGGCGTCTTCATAAAAAGCCATGCCACGGTTACATAGCCTGAGAATAAATTAGGCCCTTCTTAGAGTTTAGGAGAGACAGGATTTGAGATTTGGGTGCCGGGGAGAAAGGGCAAGAGGGAAAGGGTGACGTTTCTTTTCTTTCCCCTTTTCCTCCTTTTTGGTTTTCTTTTCGCCTTTCCCAGAAGCGCCAGGGCCTGATTGTGCTCGTAAAATGCTGGAAAGTTGCTTCATGGAATGCCCAAAGGTTGCTTAAAAGTGGCCAAAAATCCAAAAAGTTGCTACTTAAATTCAAACCTTGTTGCCAAAATTTCTGCATACTTTAATACAAACGTCAATTTAAAGCTTTTTTTTGGTTTTTCACAATAATTACTTTCATCGGTCTAGGAAAACAGCTCGAAATTTTTAATAGCATGATTTGTAGTGATATTTGGCATAAACACCACGCGTGATATTTCGAAATTGTTATACGTAATTTCACGAGCCGTTAGGTGAGTGAATTTGAGACAATAGGCCAATTGCACG